TGCCTCTATTATATATATATATATTTTCTGAAAATATTATGATGAGAGTTGTTCTGCTTTCAATAGACGGACACAATTATGTTTGGGCACTATGTGTCTTATGTGTGTTCTGGTTTTGATTATGACTCTGGCTCTGATTCTGGTTTTGATTCAGTACGGGATCCCGATATACGAGATATGATATGTGATATGTGCCACCTTTGACATGATACATTCTGTCGTGAGATAAGAATCTAATTCTGGTTTTGATTCTTCGATACTCCTATGTGTTTTGGATGTGTAAGGCATAATTGTGTGTTTTCCAAAGATGTGTTTGTTCGCTCACTGTTCAGTATATATTTTTACACGTTTCATAATACATGTTTAATATGACTAGAGTCAGTATTATTATTTCTTAAGTTTGTACTCACTCTTTTTTCAACATTTTTTAGATCGTAGTGTGGTTCCATCCTTCTAATACACTTCTTGATTAAGCACGTAGATTTCTAACGAGTTGCTGCCAATGTATGAGTTTTGTTCCTTATATTTCCTGTACTTTTAAAGTTGCTCCATCGCTTGTCAGACATGCCCTTTCTGATTGTATGAATTTGGTAGTTATGATAATTTATGTTTTATAAAGGTTGGTTGGTTTGAAACTTACTGGGCTCGGTGAGCTCTAATGCCAGTCATAAGTCCGGGTCGGGAGATGGAGACAGAGGCTTTTTTTTAGGTGGAAGATGAGTCAAAAAAACTAGCTTTCAGGAGTATTCCTAAAATAGGCACGTGCCATGGTGGATACAAGGTAGGTACGTGAGCAAGTTGACTTCTCAGCTTGAATGGAAGATTTGTGGGTAAATGACACTGCTCTACGTGAAATTGAATCCACGAGTGCTATGGAGATGTTCAGCAAATTGCTTAGCAGGTACATATTGATAAGGACATTCCACAGCACAGGATAACAACGTATGTATCCTCTTTTAAGATCTGTCAGCTTTATGTCACCAAGAGATTTGCGTTTGGGGGTGGGGGGTCTGTCATACACCCTTGTTTTGGATAATGTATGCTATGAGAATTGGCTTGGATGTAGGATGACTTTGGTGGATGGAGGGAGGATGACCAGAGCAAATTCTCTCACAATACTTTGGGTGGAGGCTATCCAGGATAACATCTGTTCCGTCGCAATGTTTTGAGTATCCTTTTATCCTATTTGAAGAGCTGTTCTTAGTGAATTTTCCAGATTAGACATGGAAGTGCTTGTCTTTGAGGCTCTATAAAGAGTGACATGTTGGTTTACAGAACTAGGTATATGCGGTTAGAGTATATTAGGCATTTGAATACTTACCAAGCTGTTAAGAGATTACTTAAAACTTCTTCAAATTTGTGGCTGCATGTAAGAGTGCTAAAGGAACCTCCCTGGCTCAAATAGAATATTATAAGTATTTAGCCATTTGGAATTTGCAGCCACAATTGGTAGACTTAGCCACTCAGGGAAATGACACGTAAGTATGATGTTGGAAGCCTATCAAGACACTTCATATGGGAGAAACTGAAAATTGGAATCTGAAGCAGTTTGTGATGGTGCAGTGGGAAGTCATTTGAAGACATGATTTCTCATAGAGGTTTGTATTCGACAGGCGCAACTTTTCAGATGACTAAAGACCTGGAGAATATGTCTGGAATCACTAAATAAATACCTAGCTTTCCTGCGTGTCTCTAGCCATGTAAACTTTCAGCTAGATACACTTTCTGGTTTGTTTTGATATGATAAATTAAAGACTCTAGGACTGGCAAAACAAATAAATGAAACAAGAGTAACATAATTTCTTCCTATTTATTGTCTTTTATTGTCTTTCACTTGTAATCTCCATATTTTGATATTTAAGCAGTACATATAAATCTATATGGAGTATATTTTTGTAATTGACAGCAAATCAGCTGTTGGAAGAGGAATGTCAGCTGAAGAGGAGAAGAACCTAAAGCAGGAGTTGAAGTCTTTAACAATGGAGGATATATCTACATTTATGGAATCTTTGCCCACGGACATTTTAACAATACTGCATTCCGAGTAAGGAAATATTTTTCACTATATTATTCTAATTATAAAATCATTTGATTCCCAAAGTGTTTGTCTCCTTACTCTGTCTCTCTTTCTTCTGTTTCAGTGGGCTACTGAGGTCTTTACTTAGCAAGTTAGGTACTTCACAAATGATCTGGCAGAAGCTTATGCTAAATATGTATTACAGGGGCTTTCTCCAAAGTCAAAAACTGGATCTGGTAATATTTAAGTAGATGCCCTATTACAATCGGTTACATGAGTAATAAGAATCTCTTGAAAGAATGATATTAACAAAAAGAGGAATCACGTTATCTATTCATGGGATGCACAGTTCATTTGTTATAAACCGACAGGGAGAATTAGTATTACACGTTACAAGGGAGGAATTTGTCCATTCTTGGCATCTAACCCCTTTTTAACAGAGGACAAGCTTGCAAGTTGTAGATAACTGGGAGTTTCCTGATTTTCTGGAATCTTGCAGACCATTAGGAGCTTTAGGAGATCTTCCAAGTCTGGAATCTATTTTAAGCAATGCAAATGAAACTATTTAGACCATTTTCTTTAAAATTATGTTTCAGATCATGAAATAGAAGTGTTCTCCCGATTTATGGCAAAAATGAGTTACCTACGGCTGAGACTGATTCTCAGTAAGTTTTCATATAAGCAGTTTGTTAGCCAAGATATACACAGAGGATACTTACGTAATGTGTTATGTCTCATTCTTCAGAGATGCTGGAGCTGGTTTCTTCAGCCAAGCAAGTTAGATGTATGATCATCTAGAGGTTTAAAGAGATCTCAGTTTGGCTTGCCATCTAATGAAAGATTTATATCCTTATCTTCCCCAAACCCGTTGATTTAGGAATATAGAATCTTGAATAGCAATTGAGGCTGTTAGATGCCCAATTAAAAATATGGTGAAAAACCTTGGTTTGGCTAAATGTTTTGGGTTTTAAAGCATAGCGATCCTATGGCATTTATTGCTTTCTAGAAAATTGTTGATACATTGTTCTTATGTTCTGTAATATGTGCACATATTAATTCTTTTTAACACGTTACTGTATGTTGTAATTTATCAATAAGTACTTTCTTTTGTATTATTTTCAATTAAATCTGAAAGCTTTATTATTTTTGTTCTTCTTTTGAAAAGAAAACCTTATAAAATATTTGCCAGAAAATGAACATAAGACGAGGAAACAGAGGTTGGGGAGAATAGATGACATGGTGGCTCTGTAAAAATGAATCTATTGCAACCTGTGGGTAGAAAGTATTAGATTTCTATCTACTTTAATGCTTGAATTCGCTAGGTAATATTGAGATTGAGACTCTCCTTGAAAACGTGGGAAGACGGTTGATTCAAAGGTGTAAAGTCGGAATTGCCCCATTTTTGTTGCTGTAACTTTTCCTCTCTTCTTCCAATTTATTTCTTTTTAGTTACAAAACCGAAATATCTAACTTAAGGGGAGGGAAGAAGGGGATGGGTGGGTGATTAAACTCCCCAAATCACAAGGGAAATCTTGAGTCTACCACTGGATAACAAAATCGGTTTTGTCACTGTAATTGAGGTCATACTTATGGTGGTCTTTGAAATTTCCGGCCTACGGAAAACATAATTTGCAAAGACAGTGTAGTTCCCTGCCCTGGCCATAAAATGTAAGTGCCCTTTTTTAAAAAAAATTCAATCTTGAACTTCTTTGCACTCAATTTGGCTGACCTGGGAACCGGAGGGCTGTATGGAAGACGTGGCAGAAGAGTTTGTTGGACGGATGTAAATATTAGATTTTATAACTATAATTCAATCAAATTACAAATTATCAACATCTTTACAATGTATAAACTTTATTTAAATTAAAGTTGAACATTTTTTTTTTGGTCCTAACGACATTCTAATTTGGCCAAATCAGTTCTGCCATTGAGAATGGCAAAATGCAATTCGATCCATTTGATGCAGTTTTCATGGTGTTTGGTTTCAAAAAAGCCATCTTTTAAAAAAAAAAATATATATATATTTTTTGAAAAATCTCATAGAATTAGCTTATAGGCTTTAGATTAGATTAGTATTTTGACAATAAATGAATGAAAAAGCTCGAAAGCCAGTGGGTGTTTGGTCTGCGGGTTTCTTTCTTGAAGCCCAGCTTTTGCTTTAACTCTCGGTCTCGGTAAATCATCCGATTCCCTTTTTTCGGTTGCATATTTGATTTGTTTCTTTTTGTTTGGCCTTCTGTACGTAGTAATCGGGTTCGCATAAAAGTTTTGAGCTCCCATCACCACACTACCAATAAGCCCAGGGCTGTTTTCTGTGAGGTTGATCCAAACAACCCTCGGACAAAAAGGCCCACAACAAAACCGTGACTGCAGTGACCCCTTATTTTATGACTGAAGGAAAAAACAAAAATGCTTCCAAAGAAGTCTTGGCTGTTTGAGAAATCAATTTGAGCCTTCCGATCAAGTTGTTAAATGCATAGACCAAAATAAACTGACTAGTTGAAATCATAAATACAACATTGGAAACGAACAAATAGGCAATATAAAATGCAAAACTAATTAGCCTGCACAAATAGGTCTTATACAAATCATATATAAATGTCGGTTATATCAGTTAGAAGACTGGGCCAGCCCAGGAAACACCACTGCACCCCCGAAAAACAAAGAAAAAAGAAAAACGAAAAAGAAGGAAGATACATTGAAAAGAAACTACCTGAAACTTGTCGTGCACCCTTTTATTCTTCTCAGAAAAATTCTGAAGCACTAAAAAACAGAGCTCGTTCTTTCTTTAATTTCGTATCTGGCCCTACAACAATACCATTGTCGGCAGCAATGAGAAGTCTACAGAGAGAGAGAGAGCCGCAAACAAAAAGGACTGCAGAAACCACACAGTTTGACTCAAAAATAATCACGCAACAAGCCAAGTCATAAGCATCATTATTAATTAACCATAAAGGCATATTAGCAAAATGGGAACTCACAATTATGCTGAGCAACCAAGTTTTGCTCTCAGCTCACTTACAACAGCATCAATGAACTCTTCGGTATTCAGATACTGTCCCTACTAAGCCTGAACCATTTATGAAATTAATTAACAATACCAAATCAAGTAAAAGACCGTGAATATAAGAAATGCCCATTAACAGTCACTTACTTGGGTCCATGGATTATAAGTGCAAGATCCTTGGTCATCTTCCCAGACTCCACGGCTCCAATACAAGCTGCTTCTAATTTCTCAGTGAAATTGTCATCCAACTTTGCCCTGTCACCATGAAAATGGTTTATTTCTAATTATTTTCTGTTAAAACCTAAAAGATGCCAAATTCCAGATTGTCACGCACAAAACTCTGCTACAAGTTAATAACAGTCATTTAAACCCGTGTGCAAGCCCTCGAGACCACGCAAAAACTGAAGCAATACTGTTTGTGCTTGTTTCACCACCTTTCTGGTGAACCCTGTAATGGCGAGTAACAGTGCCATGGGCTGCTTCGGCTTCTACAGTCTTGCCATCAGGGCACATCTGAACCAAATTCATAGGACATCAAACCATAATACTAATTCCGAAACATGATTGAGAAACAAAAAGAAATCAATTTAGCGTTTATTCATAACAGTCAGAAATAAAAAAAAATATTATATAAAGACTGGATGAGGAAGAAGGAAGTTGGAAGGTCAGTAATAAAATCATAGAACAGAAGATATGAGATTACATGGAGACATCAGGACATCAAAAAGAGTCCACCGCATTCATAAACGCAAGTAGTAGAATAATTCATCAGTTACCAAATATACCAGAACTGATGTCATCAAACCAAGAGGTCCAAACCCTGCACATGGCAGGCAGAAAGTTGAGATTGAACAAATCAGTCAATTAGTGGCAAATAGTAATATCTCACTCATAAGTAAATTCCATTCAGGTACAGATACTGCTATCACAACAATCTCTATAATACTACCATTTCAGGTGCAGAAGTTTTATATGCAAACCTTGGGCTAAGAAATCACTCTGCATATCCCCATCACAGTTTTTGCAAGTCCAAACATAACCTCCTTCACTCGTAAGAGCATAAGCAATCATATCATCAATGAGGCGGTGTTCATACCTGACAATTAACCATTAAGTCCAAGATTACAGTATTCGCCCAAAAAAAAAAAAAAAGAGAGAGAGAGAAAATGAAATTAGATTCAATTGCCAACAGCTCACCAAATTCCAGTGGCCTCAAACTTTGATTTCCAATTGGTTTCGTACACTTCCTGAAATGTGTGCTTGAATCTTTTCAGAAAGGGAATAAGCATAAGGTCAACAATCAAAAGGTGCTAAAACAAGGCAACAAAATGTAAAAGCAAAGAAAGCCAGAAATTGTTTTAAGAGCGACAGGCCACCCAGTATGTGTTTAAAAGAAATTGAATTGGGCTGTCAAAGTAATTTCCAGTATTGGTGTATGTGTGTGAGAGCAGGTGGGGGATGGGGTGTGTGCTAAGGGGACATCCTTCAAATAAATATATATATATATATATATATATTTAAAAAATATGAAGATTACAATACAAATGACATTTGTAACCTTCTAAAAAGCTTTGGTGGGAGTATTGGTGTAAAAGGGTTCCATGAATACAAGTTAAGATGAGTCAACAGCTTTCAACGTGCTACAGCTTTTTTGTGAACTTGTAAGCCTACATTTTTATAAGCCAGAAACAGATCAAATATCCCTTTCACAACAATCTCTTCTCCTTGTCTTTTTAACCCTAAAGAACTGAATCTATAGAGTATACTACTTTAGTTCAAAAGATAGGACACAAACAAAAATGTTGAAGGAAAGCTGTGCCAAAAGGACCTTGAATCAAATCAGTTAGCTAATGAAGAGAAGCAAAAGGCATGTAAAGAAAAGAGAAATATGAAAATTCATTATAACAGGCTAATAAGCAAGCAGATACCTTCCATCATATTTCTTAAGAATAGCATTTTTTGTGCTAAGATAAAGTGGCCACTTTTTCTGATATGCAGTGTTCATTGAAGCCTCGGCAAATGCATAGATGGACTATGCTTCGAGAGAAAAAACAGTTAGTTTCTCACTGAAGGATAGAAAGTTACTTCAACATTCCACAAAAGGATTTGCAACCTCAAACTCATCAATGTTGTACATGGACAAAGCCACGCCTCCAGCACCAGTAAAGTTGAAAACCTCCAGCTCTGTCCTTTCATCTTTTCCTTCTGGACATCACACGTGTTAGCACCTTTTCTTTTAAACAGAAAATCGAGGGCTAGGAATTAACAGATTACGTAAGGAAGCTAGATGAGAAAAGAAACTTTACCAAATACCAATTTGAGTTTCCCAGGTCCTTTGATGACTGTGTCAGTTGCTCTGTTGTGATAGAGATGAAACTAAAGCAGCATTGCAAACTTATCAAACAATGTTAAATGCCTGGGATGAGGCAGGGCACATTTTTGCAGATAATTGGTTCTCTGAAGACAGTTCCTGCAGCATGCACCAAACATGAGCAATCACTAATTATAGCCAGAGGCTATTGATAGTTACAAAATCATTGGTTATCAACCATTTAGAATGTTCCTAATTGGTCCATTAGGACTCTTCCACATATGCTTCAAATTGAATTCCCTCATACGAGCTTCATCTGCAAATTACCATACAATGAATTTTACATTCTTTTTCTTGCTCAGTAATGGTAAAATAACATTGGATCAATTAGAATTTGGGTCAAGTAGTTCATTTCTCTCAGCTTAGACCCAGCCATTTGTACCTGGGGTAATAGTTGCACACTTGATTGCTACATTGTACCTATAATTGGGCCATGCTCATTAGATATCAAGGGCAAAAGATGCAGCACCAGCAAAGCATTAGCTGAGGATCTATTTAAATTGAATTAGAGAAAAAATAGTACGTATAAAAGAAATCCACCTACGTTTCATTGTGTGCGTGTGTTTGTGGAGCAGGGAATGAGGTGTGCACAGAAAAGTAAATTCAGACTTATGATAATTCGTACTTAAGAGTATCTTCTACACTTTCAATAGTAACTTTGTCATCAGTAGCATCACGATTAGGAAGGCCAAGGTCGAAGTACTTAATGTCCAACTCCAGAAAGGGGAAAATAAGCTGTGGTAGATCCAACACAGTGTAAAATATAAGAATTTTTTGCAAAATGTGTGTGTGTGTGTGTGTGTGTGTGAGAGAGAGAGAGAGAGAGAGAGAGAGAGAGAGAGAGAGAGAGAGAATATAAACAAATGAACCCAAAAAAGTGTTACTTTGTCCTTTATTGATTTCCACAAGACACGAGTCATCTCATCTCCTGCATCACAGAATCAAGAAAATTAAAAAAATCGGAGAAAAAGAAGTTTTCTTTCATACATAAACCAGAGAAAATTACCAAGTTATATACATCCATACAGACATGTACGCATACATGAATGCCAGTAATCAATTATCCTTTATTTTCAACAAATAATTAAATCAGGATCCTCTGAACATGAGAGACACAATGGCTTAGTATTTAAATCCCCATTGGAGTTCCTACTGAATAGACTTTGGAAGAAATTTTGAATTTCAGGAATAGCAGATACTACCATTCTCAAATAGGAAGTAGAAGTCTCTTAAAATTTCTTCCTAGCGTCAATACTCCATCATGAAACTCAGAATCACCATGCAGCCCCAACATAGGAACACTAAATACAAGGTTATCTTAGTCTATGGTGCATTTTGACTGTGATCATATAAATACGGGAAAAATGTCATATTGGAGACTAAATCCAGAACCCGGAAAATTGTTTCAGTTAGTAAAAGAAATGGAAAATGAAGAGTAAAAAATTTTCATATTTTATACTGAAATTCCCTGCGACAAAACCAGTATTCGTGGTGAGCATTCACTTCAAGAATACATTCCAACTTGGTTGCCATCGACTTCAGGGCAAAAGAAGGGGAAAACCCACAAAAAAAAAAAAAAAAAAAAAAATGAAGAAAAAAAAAAACGGAGAGCAGCTCTTCTCCACATAGGTAAAAAATTCACAAAATGCTCCCACGGTCCCCATCTCAAAAATGAATCGGCTATGCAGTTGAACTAGCCTTTTACTCATTGTTCTACAAATAAACAATGGTAGACAGTACAAATGCACAGTGTTTAAGTCTGAATTGCCTGACACCATAATCCTTTAAGTAAAAAAACAAGCATAATTTCATCCATGGTTTTCAAAATCTTATAAAGGGAGAAGTTTCTCACCAGTCTATTGAAAAGCAAAAGGCATATGAGCATGAACACTACTAGCAAGCACTCGAGTAATATGTCATGATCATCATCGTTCTATCGACTTAATAGCGCGAGACAAAGGTGAAAAAGGCAATCATATCTGTAACCCCACATCAAAAGAAATAAATGCAGAAATTAGTAGATTACCATACTGATGAAAATGGGAAGTCAGCTAACTAATTTTCAAAACAAAATGATCATACCAAGCGCACATAGATCAAAACTCTCTTTATATAACATAAACTGAAACAAGTCATAAAAATCGATTTGAAGTATCTTTCGGTTCAGAGAGGAACCCGCTGATACTTTGTTGATGAGTATATATGGTTTTTGAATTAAAAATTATTAGATTTTAAATATTCCAGGTTTGACTTTATTAGGACACAAGCCAGTGATTCATGAAGATTCTTCTTGCCAGTAGACAAGCAATGGAGATCAGTGATCGCATGGGTAGGTAAGTGAAGACAAGTAAAGATAAATCAGATCTATATAGATTGTGAAAGTACAGAGATGGATCAAACTGGAACTCAGAATCGAATTCCCGCGGAAAGAAAAGGGATGGGATATCTCAATATCTCACCATCCATCTCAACTACGGGGTTGGCGACCTTGATCTTCTCGAATGCCATTTTCTCACTCTATACGGAAAGGAAAAACTAGAATACGGGGAGAATGTGAGAAAATGGCGTAGTGTCTCCGCCAGCGAGAAGCAGAGACGAAATGGACAAAAATGGAAAGCAGGAAAGACTGCGACGGGTCGAGGGAGAAAAGGCCGCTTAAAATGGGGTGCTGCCCGCCCAACTTTAATGTCCCCGTTCAAGTGTGCTACAATTACGGAAGTGCCACTCGGTTAGCTAAGCGCTATTGTTGAACAATTATTTTTATATATTACTCCTTTTCCAGAAAAAATTATTTTTTATTTTTGATCTTATTTTTTAAATCCTAACACTAAATTTTTATCACTGAAATATGGAATAGAGAGTATTTTAATTAGTTTGTTCTTTATACTAGTAATTTATCTCTTTAATTTTTGTTTCAAATGTTATTCAAATTTTCTAATATGATGCACTAATTATTGTGATTTATCAAGATGATTATATATAACATAAATCCACCTATTTAAGAAAAGCACTTTTAAATTTGATTGAGACTCCAATTTGTTCAAATTTCCAGAAAGTGGCATTTTTAATTGCCATATACTCCATTTAATATTCGATATTAAATGAACAAGGTTGTTTGCCTCTCTGCCAATGGCAACTCTACCCAACTGTATCAAGCATAAAATGCTTAATTGCGAGGTAAACGTTCATTTGTGAAAGAGATGGGGCGAATTAGACCCTTTCTGAAATAGATGTCCTTGAGTGAAATATTTTAAAAGATCACTTCCCATTTGACAGTAATGGTTTTTGGTGGTTAGTACAAGTATATGAAATTATGTTTTCTATTCATAAATCAGGATAATGGGTTAACCCATTTAATTGGATCTCGAGGTAGTCTCTCCTCCTCGGCCCCTTTGCCCGTCCTCTCTCATCGGCAACAATTTCCTGCCAATGTCAACAAGTACCTCGAAACCCCATCCAAAAATGAGATCTTGAGAGTGACATCACGAAAGGAAAAGACGTTTTTGACATGGAGTTTAATTGAACCTTGATACAGGATGTGTGGATGATCATGGTGATGCAAGGAGAGCGGTGAAGTGAAGAGGACCACCCAAGGCATTAATACTCTGTGATAATCTAAGAGTTTGACACACTGTTTAGTAAGGAAGAAGAAAGTAATGTGGCAACTTTTTGATAACTTACTTTGTTGGCTCAATAAGTAAGAATAAAAGAGATATATATATATATATACATATATGTATGTATATATATAAATGCATTGTATATATTCTCCGAAATAGATTTAAAAAATAAAAAAAGGATCATATTTTAAACAATATTTCACCATTCAAAAGTTTCAAGAGATTTAAACAAAAATTTCAAGTAAAATGTGAAGTTACATATATAGGACATAAAAATTAAATAAGCATGTTTGGATTGTTTCTCACAACAAAAAGTAATTAACTCCCCAAAGTGTTATTGTTTTTTCTTAAATATTCTAATGATAATTTTCTTCCATTTTTTCAAAATTAGAAATCAATTCCACAAGCAATACTTACTAATTATAACTCTAAGTTTAAATTAAGGGTAATTTAGGGCCGAGATTTAATTCACAATCTACTTTATAATTTATAAAAACATTAGAGCTTGTTTATTCAATGGATCGAAAAATGGAGAAGTTGATAATGGGAAGATATATGTTGCCATCTAGAGTGCTTGAATGAATTGTTAGATGAAGAACTAAGGAAAGAAGTTTTTGAAAAGTTCAGAAAATTGATTCACAGGTGGTATATATTAAGCTTGAAGATTAAAAAAAGAAAAAAGAAAAGTTCGCAATTAATGTGAAAAGTTGGGTTATATTAAGTGTTATGAAAATGGGTTGAGGAGAGGATACACTTCGGAGTTCTGTTGGTGGACTCGCAGCGGATGAACCGCCACCTTTTATCTCACCCATGAGCCATTAACCGTTTGAAGTGAAAATACACAAGCACCATCCATAGCAAACTTCTACATTTAATTAACCCTTTCAAATGGCCTTTATTTATGGGATCCATGAATTCATAGTGAAAAACATTCCCATTTGGGATTTCATATTTTAGCCGAAAGTATATCAACTTCAAACAAAGGTAAAAGTGACTTTGATTGAAGAATACTAGCTCAAATGTTGGTTGAATTGGGCATGGAACTTCTACCCTTCTGTTGTCTTCCACGTCATAATCATGGAACCGGCCAAATAGAAAACCCACCATCAACTTCAATTAAAAAAGAAAAATACCTTCTAGAAAGGCATCAACTCGGCAGTTGTGAAAATGTCTAGGTGTTGGTCCTCCTGAATGGCAAGACAAGTGGGAAGGAGCAACAACCCCCCCCCCCCAAAAAAAAAAAAAAAACAACAAAACAAAAACAAAAAGAATTTCTTATTTTTGGGGGACAGAGATGAGTGACAGTTTTAAATTAACTAGGAATCTAACTCAACCAATATTGTTACATTACACTTTTAAATAAGTTTTAATTTAAAATTAATTTTAAAATTAGTTACATTTCATTTGAATTTGATTCAAAATTTACATGAAGTTAGTTAGTATAACTGATTCAGAAGTTTGATTAAATTGGTTAGTATAATTATTATTTGGATGCTAATTTAAAATTTATTTAATTATATTTGAAATTTGAATATTGTATTCGTATAAAATATAATATTTGGACTATTTTTACATTTTAAGTTTTATGTTTGATGATTAGATAATGAATTAATATGAAGTGTGTATGAGTGGTAAATATAAAAACTATGTATGAAAATAATGGACATGCTAGTTTTAGTAGTGTATTTCATAATTACGGGTATTTTTTTGTAAATAATTAATACTAACATATAGATATATGAATTGTATTTCTTTCAGATATTATTAGGAATGCAATCGATTAATAAGTAAAATCTAATTTTTTTTTTTTGACAATTTGGGGGAAAGTGTTAGATTTTGAGATAGGCTTTGCTTTGGTTACTTTCAAACTTTCCAGAGTCTAAAATTAGTCCTATTTGAATAAATTTAATATTCTATTTTGTAACCTAACCTAACACTCCATGTTTACCACTTCTAGTGGTATAAAATTCCGGTAAAAGCTGGGCTAGATTATGGAGCGGGTGGTTGGGTTGACATTTTTATTTCATTATTTTTGGAAAAAAAATTGAGGGTCATTTTATTTTTTTACATAAAAATTATATACATATAAATACAATCCATATATATATATATATTATTCTTTCTCAGAATGTTTGATAATTCTAGCAACAAAAGCTGATATTTTTACAAGAAAAGAAAAAGTATAAAGCAGAAAAAAATAAGGTTTTTATTTATTAAGCATAATGGCTTAATCGTAAAAAGAAGTGTATTGCGAGGTCAGTGGTTTTGACTTTAAGATATTTGAAGCAGTCTTGCTCAGTTTTATTAATTTCTTGTGATATCTGCTAGAGTTCACCTACCCCCCGTTTGACCTAGCATTCTTGCTGCTCATGACGTATCCTTGAAGACTGTACATTAAAGGCTGCCGCGTAATTTAAAAATATCCCCTTAAAAAGGTCAAAAGAAAAAACGATCTATACTCTCTTTCTCTTTTCTCCATGCCAACAAATTTTTTTATTTTTTATTTAATTTATAAAAAAATTTGTAGTTGAGAAAGACAATTATATCATAAGACTTTCGGTGGAGAAGTACTGATTCTTAAAATATTACATCATAAAAAGTCTCTTAATTTAAAAAGTCGGAAGAGAAAAGTCCAATATCTAACACCAAACTCATTGGAGAAAACTATATTTGCATATCTACCGCCACTCTTGAAGTTATCTTCTAGCTTTGCTCTTCTAATTATAATGTAAAAATTGTTTTTTGGGCTAATTGGCATAAAATATTCAATAATAAACGATATAATTTAATTTATTTAAAAATATTTCTCAATTATAAACTTAAAATAAATTCCTTCAGGTTTGAATCAGATTTGAAACAAGAATGACTGAATTTTTATTTAATATAAAAAGAAAATCAAAATAAGGATAAGGGTAAGTCATTTTCATGAATTCAAGGACAAAGCTGCTTTACTTAATCTCACACATGCAATTCTATTCTCTAACAAGGAAATGAATCATGTAAAATACATTTCCTAAAATTAACATATTTATGCCATAAACTAAAAAGGAATTCTTTGATTAATGAGGGGGACAGTCAATACTATTAAAAACTTTTAAAAATTAAAATTAGTGAAGATTTATCTCTAACACACGCACTATTCACAATCAACGTTGGATATTGGTCAATTACTCAAACTGGGACACACAATATTTCTTCAGTTAATGAGGAGAGTTAGTTAATATTAATAAAATTTTTTTAACAACTAACACTAGTGAAAACTTATCCCTGACACACTGGTGACAACTAAAAATGACTTCTTAGTTCTTGCCTTTTCTTTGCTTGCTACTAAACAATCTTTGCCCAACCAGCAATAGTCAATGGTTGCCACCACCGTGAAAACTTAAATTTGATTTAAAAAATTAAATTAAAATTTAATCTTTAATTATTTTGATGAAAATGTAATTTAGTGCGATGTTCATCAAAAATATAACTTATTGACCAAATAAACCGAATATATATACCATTAATGTTCATTTATTAGCTAGACAAATATTAAACGTGCCTTTGAAAGATTCCCTAAACATTGATTATTATTTTGACGTGGAATGAAAATAACAAAATTTAAATACCTCAAATTACAAAAACAAAATTCAGAATTTACCAAAATTAAAAAAATTATTTATGATTTTCTAATTTTGCTAGTGATAATGAACAAAATAAATGTCAGTCAGAAACTGTTAATAGAAATTTTTAAAATCTTATAACGCAAAAAAAATAAAGAGAAAAAGATGAAAAGTACATTAGAAATATGAAAATACTTAAAAACTAATTTTATAATTGAATTTAGAAAAAATTCCAAAACTCAACAGTCAATTAATTATTATAGAGTTATGTAATAACTATATTTTGATATAA